ATCATCAAGAAAAGGTTTTGGTTATTCTTTAAAGTTTCTGAAAAACTGGTTTTCCAGAAAACTGGGTCTTCAAGAGTCAAGAGCACAGATCCTTTTAGCCTTTTTCTTACCTCAATATACTCTATTGAATGAGATATGAATGAATCGAAAGGGAGCGTATCACTTGGGAATGTTCCCTCGTTAGCATATTTTCGACTTTTTTCCTTCTTGAACATGGTTGTCTAAGGAAGAACCTATGATTCTATATGGTCGAGTGTCCGTTGGCTATGATTTTCATAAATAAAAACACAATGTAAAGAAAATTTTCCACTCAAGCTCTTGCAACATCTTGAAATTTCTGTTCCCAAAATCTTGGGTAGAAGTTTCTCTAGGGATGAAATCAAAATTTTCGGTGCTGGCCGCAGCCACTGAATACAGGTGAAACAAAAAGTGAAGCAAAATGCCCATTAATTTTCAGAAAGGAGTAGAGACGGAAAACGATCGATTTTTCTGTTTTTTCTCTTCTCTGAACGATTGCACACGATTCTCAACTAATCAGAATAAAAGAAAAACCTTGACCCTCAGAACCTAGTGAGTTAAAATTTTCCTCTTCGATAATGTTTCTTTTTACTGCTACTACGCAGGAAAAGAAGCTTTATCATATTTTGCTGCGGGAAAAGCAAAAGTTTTCGAAAGCAGGAGGGGGGGGTCTCCCCATCCTACGATCGAAAAACGTTTTAGGCGAAAATTTGGCCGAAGGTGGTTAAAAAAACGAAAGCATACGGGGAAAGAAATACAAAAGGAATTCCTTTCCATACTATGTGTCTATCAGTACAGCACGAATTTTTCGGCTTTTCATATCCTGTCTTGCCTAATCTCTCAAAATTTGTTATTTCACCTGTTCGGCCTTGTTATGAGAAGTCGTCATTGACGACCCCTTGTACGTAAGAATGGCAAACCGGCATAAAATTCGAAAATAAGTAAAAATGTGCCAAAGGCTGAGCTGTTTCAATCTACTTTTTCGTCCGTCAATCTGTTTGCAAGGCATGTGTCAATATTTCATGCTTGTGAAAGTGCAGAAGGACTATCCTTAGCAAAGCTGTCTACATTTGTGTGGGAAGATTCAAGCACCATCGCAGTCATCTGTAAGTCGAGTTTTCTTCTGAAAGTTACATATAAGTTATGCTAACCTTAATACCATTTAAAACTTCATTCATTGTTTTGATTCGTTGATCTTTTAATTTCATTTGTTTAGCCTAAGAAATATTAGCGCAATAACACAACAGGTTTCTCACTAACATTATACATACCGCTAATACTTTCTGTACACGCTGTAAACAAATATTTACTGGTATCATTACGACCAACAGAATAACGCCAGGTAAAATTGCTAGTTGCATCTGTTGATAAAGCAGATATAAAGCAACGACAACCTGTATAGGTGCCGACCATAATATATGAATATACTACAAAAATAATCGTTCTCTTCTAAAAGAGCGAAAGTTTTTCAGAAATAGAAAACTTACGTTACACAAGTCGCCAAAACGTGAAGCATCGATTGACATTAAATTGACTATTTCACCCGTTGTAGTTGTTTGCTTAGAAGAATTTGAAAGTTTTAAACTCTAAAGAAAGAAACAGTACAAATGAGGCAAATCAGTTTACTCTTCTAGAAAAGTTCCAAAGCATCAACTGGGATAGATATCCATACCTATCATCATTCCACTGAACATTATTCGACAATTTCAAAACACTCTTTCCACTCCTTACAATGATTAGCATTTTAAAACCCAGTCAAAGTCAACTTTGTTTCCAGTTTGGCAACGGAAGTGGAAATCAAGGAATTATTCCGATCGCACTTGGCCGAGAAATACAATACTGATGGATACATAACTTACTTATATCAAAAGATATTGAACTTTTGTTAATAAAAATTTAACGTACTTTTCTATACACAAGACCCGTAGCAGCAGCCCTGAATCTCATACCAATAGTAAATTGTCGCTGAAAATATGCTTGTAAAAATAATGTTTGACAAAACCCATTTGCGCCTAATAAAAATGCGTAAAATATACCCATCCATGTTGGTTTGGAAGGATCATTAAAAAAATCTAGGATTAATCTAAAAGAGGAAAAAGAACAAAATTAAGACAAGCTTTTATAGTTCCGGTTTTTTTCGTACTTCAGTATTATCGGACTACTAAGTTGCAGTACATCAGAAATAACTTTCAAAAGACCACCAGCAATCAGCTTCCCACTAAATGCGCGAAACAATGCAAGCAAAAATACTGGTACTTTTTTCGTATTTGACGAGCTTTTGATTACAACTTTAGGCTAAAAGCAAACACGCCTAAGTGCTGATACTATGAAGAACAATCAAACAAACAATACATACTACATTATCAATCTAAAATCAAATACAGATATGCAAAAAAGTTGTTACTATGAGAGATAAACAATTAATAAATATATTACTTACTAGATCTCGATTTTCCTCTAGTTTATCATTCGCGGCATGCTTACTTAAATCGTTAACATTTTTTTTGTGATATATAGCATTTTTCAAACGATTCATTGACCTGTTCGAGAAATGAAAAAAGGGTAGAAGTGATACATATGCGTTATTTGCAACTTTATCGTACAATTGAGTTTTTGTCGTATTTTTAAAATTATTCCGGATTCTGAAAACGGATTTCGAAATTCTTTTTTGTTTTATCGCTGTTTGCATGCTTCACTACCACAGAAAATCTAAGCTCGATATCTCAACAACTCACCGAGATAAACCCAGCAAAGTCGAAAAAAACGTGTTTTTTAGATGAGTTATTGAGAGAAAAGTAAGTTTTTCTAACAAGAGAAGGAATGAAAAGCAAAAAGCAAATTGTACGTTTCGTAGAGCATTTAATGCTCTATTAAACTGTGTGCCTTCATGCTTGTTTTGTTTTTTTGTTCATGCTCGTCTACGGCGAAAATTGTTTTACAGACAGCTTGTAGATCGAGAATTGGGCACTTGAGAAAATGTTTTTTTGAGAATGTGAGATGTTCATAAGGAAGAGGAAGGGCGGCCGCATCTAACTGAGTAAAAATGCTTTGTTAAATGTCTTTCTTACCGGGCGAAAAAATGGAAAACAGAGTTTTACGTTCACCTTGTAGATCGAGATTTTCCAACTTTTGACATCCGCTATTTTACAAGGATTTTTCTGACTGCAACAGCGTTGACCCACAAGAAAGACTGTCAAAAGTTGTACAAGTGGTGCAATTTGCAAGTCTCTAGAACATACCTAAGTAGGAAAAAATTACAATATACTGCGAAATGTAGATCGAGATTACTCTAAACGTTTTTTCGGTTCTTTTAGTCAAAAACCAAGTTATAACATCAATTTTGACTTCTTATATTCTGCTGAACCTATCTATCCATAAATTTACGCAGTTTTGATGTCGAGTTTCTCCAAAGTGGCTGACCACCTGTAGGCTACAAGCTTGGCGTTTTATTTTTGAATACACATTCGAAATTAGGGTTTTAACGACCTAACGTTTGCTGTGCAGGTCAGACTAAGTTACATATGGTATGAATCGATAGTTCTCTACGAGACCTATCGAATGGTGTATGATATACCCGTTTTTAAAGCAACCTCGAGATCATTATAGCCTAAAATCCAGAGAACGGAACCTGCCGAAGTTTGTTGAGGTTTATCTGAGTCGGTACGCATGTGGTAGTCGGGAAATTTGGGTTCTAGACTCAGAAAACAACGGAGAACAAGATGTGCTAATCAAATTTTGTTTAAAAAAAGCTATAAAACAGGAAGAAAAGATCCTCCAATGACAGTTTATAAGAATAAGTAGAACCTTTACTGGATGACTCTTGTTGGAGGATCATATAAGAAATGTGCACTCGTCCTATAATCAGAATCCTATGAATCATAAGATATGATATGATTTCATACGATCTGACAAAAAAGTAATTCTATCATATCCTGCGCTTCGCAGATTTTTGCAAGACCAGATTTGATCCTAATTTTAACCGTTGTGTGTCCTTATATCCGAATTGCCTATCTGAAAAAGAATGCTATTCATCTTTTTTTTAATAAATATTGATCTTTGACGAGGTCGCAATCGAAAGATTTCCGATAACAACAGTTTTGTGGTTTTCATGGATAGATAGTTCCTAGTGTCCATCCTAATTATGAAGTCAACTGAACTCTTGAAATACAGTCATTTAGGTGTAATACCAATTTCCTACTGACACCAGCATTAGTAGTTTTTCCACCAGGGAGCCTTGAAAATGAAAGAAACCCTGGATTATCACGAGTATCAACGTGGTCGATAATCCAGGCTTCCTTTCGTTCCAAGGCTCCCTGGTGGAAAAACTACTAATGCTGGTGTCAGTAGGAAATTGGTATTACACCTAAATGACTGTATTTCAAGAGTTCACTTGACTTGATAATTAGGATGGACACTAGGGACTATTTATCCATGAAAAACATTACACTGTTGTTATTGGAAATCTTTTAGCTTTGGCCTCATTTTTAGGATTTCCTTCAAAAATCCTGCCTTGCAATAGACTCTAACGTCTAGATGCGCCTTAAACAGTTGTGATGACCGATAGAAAATTCAGTTCATATTAGACAAAAATAAATTTAAAAACATTGATAGTGTCTAGAATGTTTGCACCGTACCTGTCTAACTGATATTGAACACGAGCAACAACATTAGCAGTTTTTTCTGATGAGTTTAATTCCCAACAATCACTGGTACGTAATGATCCTTTGTAACCTAATACAATTAATCTTCGAAAGAAAGAATACTTACTTTATGTATTCTTCTATAATGCGCATGATAAAACTTACTTATTAACCCACCAAAATGTAACTCTTGAAGGAAAGTTTACATGAAGTTCGGGATAAATAGGCTAGCGAAAAAAAATATTTCTTTTCGTATAGATGTTTTTAATTAAACAGTATATATTTACACTTTTGCCAGGTATTTTGGGAAAATCATATTTTTCAGCAAAACAATTTGCAATAAATGAGGCTAATACAATAATAAAATGTAACCAAGCACGAATTAATTCTTTCAATAATAATTTATCCTAAACAGAAGAGAAAAAAAACAGTTGAAAATTAGAAGCACACTGTAAAAGAGTAGGCGTTTGAAGACAGTCAGAAATGCATCATGGTGCCTTCGTGTCTAAATGTATCATAATGCCTGAACTAATGTGCCTGACTTTATCATGCGTCCTACGTCTCAACGTGTGAAACTTTTTTGTGGTGACTCCCTGTACCTCGTACTAAGATCCAAAATATTTTGCATAAATTATTTTTCGGCTGTTGTTATTTTGTTATTTATTACACCTGAGGTGTAATAAATGAAACTTAAAAGTTTGACTATAGCGCCTTAGTGCATCCTTGCTTGTGATTGCTCGAATTTTTCAGCCAATAAATAACAAAGAACTTATTTCTTACTTTTCTCGCTCCTCCACTGTAAAAAAACTCGTGATAGTAGAGAAGGTGATTTATTCTATGAGCTGTTTCAATATACATTTTTTCACATCTAATCTCATTCTATTTTTTTATTATTTTTTTGTGTTTTCTTGCTGTGAATTTTTACGTTTTTTCTCCAGTTTAGTTTTCTATAGAATTCTTTATTTTCATAAACTACTGGAAAAAGTAAAGAAAAGTTGTTACGTTTATTAACATTGCACATGTAGAAAAACTAAAAGTTATTCTCCGAACAGGCTCCGTTCCCTGACTTTTCGGTCGTCTTGGATTTTAGATATTAAAAAACGGTGTTCTGTTCAGAGATGCTTTCTCCTTCTTGGCTTTTCTGCGATCATAAAGATTTCCTATTTACTTTCTTTGTTTACAATGTTTTATTCTTTTTGCTTATTGTGTACTTTCAGATATATTTTATTTATTCAACGGCGACTGACATTATGAGTTCGACGGATCACATCCCGAAGAAAAGACCGGTAAGATGTGATCCGTCAAGTTTCATGCTAAGCTAATATGAGATGAATGTAGGATTGTTTGCGCCAAAAGAGCTTTTAAGATTGATCTGCTGGAGCTTTCTTCTTCAACAGGTAATCTCTTTCATCCATTCTACATCTCTCACCATATCTGACTTTAACTTGGTCGAAAAGTCAGAAATCGTACTATTTTTCTCATCACTAAATCTTGCTTTGCGGAAGATGGTTTTTGTGCTTAATTAGAGATAGATAAACAGTAGGATTTCTACATTTTCGACCAAGATAAAGTCAGATATAATGAAGGCTGTCAAATAGCTGAAAGAGACGGCCTACAGGAGAGAAAAATCCACCTTGCCTCTCAATAAATAATGCCTTAGAGCCGAAAAAATCGTGTCTCGCCGTCTCGAAATGTCTCAAAGAATACGCCCATCATTGATCCGCTTGCATCTTAATAAAATATGCCCTGACTGAGATATATGAGTGCACCCTAGATGAATGTCAAAACTCCAAGAATATGTCCAGATATTTGAGTTAATGTCAAAAATGTACTGATAATGTAATGTGCAAAAGTGACTGATGATTCAGAGTTAGTTAATCACTATATATCTTGCTTATGTCTCTATCACCTTATACTTTTTTTTTGAGCTGAGTTCTTGTTCAAAAGCTTTACCATTCGATTCAATGCAGATTCTCTATTTATCGTTTTACGATGTAAAACTTGATAAATATGATAGCAGTGATCAATGTAGGTCTCTTTTGCAGGTTCACACCTACTCGAAACTACGATAGTTATTTTTAGTATTTAAGTAAAAAAATGGCTCTGTAATTTAGCAAATACATGGATAGTATTTATTAGACTGTTTATTTACTCGTGTATAATCTTTTGTGTAAATCAATAGATCCGGTATGATAGCCAAACATAACATTAACCAAAAACAAAATAATAGACCAGAACAAAACATTCCTTTTATACGATCATAATTCATTAATCCTAATATAGTAAACTATGAAGAAAACAAGATAACAAAAACTCTAATGATGATCTATCTTCATGAAAAAAGGGATACAAACCGATGTAAAAATAAATAGTATTGGTGTTATTAAATTAGCTAAACTTTTTTCTTGTTTTAATGGTAAAAAATAATAGACAACGCATAATATTTGTAGTAATATAAATAACGCCACTAGAAACTAGAATGACAAAAGATATATGTACAATATGTTATTTTTATTTTAGACGAAACAGACAAAGTTACATACCATTTTTATAATAAATAAAATTGATATTTTTAGTGGTTGCGGTTGTATTTTTCGTCTGAATAACATACGTAACCACAATGGTAAAATAAGAAAATAAATAACCATTGGAACCCATTGGAGTACTGTATTACGAAAACAATGAGAAAGATTTGCATAAGTTGAATTCGCCATACTCTTATCCTAAATTTAAATGAACTGCTTATTATTAACACATTCACTGTCCATGTATCATATATGATTCATTTAATTTTTGATCATGGAGTTCATATATCAGATATGATATATTACCCCATCCAACCCATGTCCTCAAAACTGAAAAAATACCGCTTGGTTCTCGTTCAGTGCCTCGTACGCTATACCAGTAGCAAAATCGAAATTACCGCACAGTTGGCATCCAGGCGGAAATTAGGTGAAAATCGAAGTTGTTCCTAATTCAAATACAAATAGTGGAAAATGTAGCCCTTTCAAAGGGCTATCGAATGGTATATAAATGTCTATTTTGAAAATGGTTCCTACGACGAGAAATCACGGTACACAAAACCGATTACGAATATCATTACTACACACGAAATAAAGATTCTTTGCTTACTCAATTATGGTACGCGATTTCAAAGCAGATATTCAGAACCAGCACGTCTTCAGCTATCTATTGATAGCAAAATATTTCTATTTTGGCACCGAATTCAATAAGTAAGAGCGACATGTTCTCCATCACGTCAGTCCGTAGTAACAGTACTCCAGTATAGTCGGGTCGCCCTCGTTAGCC